GTACTGCTAGGAAGGTGCCTCCAGGTGCCAGAGTGAGAGGCCAATAGCAAAACCTGTCATTGTGTCCTTAGGCACAACACTTCACCTGCATTGCCTAGTATGAAAGAGATGTTTGAGTTGGTGGTGATTAGAGGGGTCGATGCTGCAGATTGGCAGCCTCACTGCCATCAGTTTGCCCCAGTGCAGCTGTGGCTACAATCGTATCTTACCACCACTGAGTGTGGAGTGAATGAATAATGCACTGTAAAGAAATTTAGCTATATTGAAAGGTGTTATATAAATCCAATGATCAATCAATGAATAGCCATCTTTCAAATTGAAGTGATAAAGTTATTATTCTTCTCTTTGGTGGCTGACCTATGTCTTTATGGTTGAACTATTTCCATTCGCTTTTTACATAGTCATTATGTCCTTCACCCACCTATGTGTGAATATGGTTTGTGAGTAAGTACATGTGCGGTGGTTTGAGGAGCCAATGGTGCTTTGGTTAAAGAAGAACCACCAATGAATTACTTATGTCAACAGTGTAGCACACTGAGAGATTGAAAATGAGATGTAAGGCAATACAGTGTAATTTTTCATTCAGCTCCTGTAGTCGTATAGGGCAGGAATGAACATGGGCAACCTCCTGTGAACATGTGGGGTAAGACTAACACACAATTACTCAGTTTTATTGCCATTCTTTATGGGCAAGGACAGCTACTAATGTTAAAGATGAAGCTGTTAACGCTACAGTGCTGTACAAACTGTAGACTGATTTAAAGAGTCAAGGTCTGAATTCCATTACATCTTATTACTTTACAAGATAAAACAGAAATCAAACCGTGTATACTCAGGAAAAGGCAGCACAAGTTTACTTTCTCTTCTATTAGGCATCCTTCATGTTGTGAGCTCAGAGGAGACTGAAAAAGACAACCTGACCTGAGATGCTCAAGAAGGCCAAAGCGTGTTACATGCAGAGAAGAGACAGAACAAAGGTGTTGTACCTGATTTTTATTTTCTTAAAAAATCTGAAAAATTGTTCATTTTAAAAGGCCCATGTTTTGATCTATGCTATAATGTTGTTTCTCATCAAAAATATACCTGGAGTTGTTTTGTTTCATCCTGTGCATTTACGCTGAGTTCTTCTTTTAAACAGAAAACACTACTTGTGGTGTCATGTGGCAATACAGAAAGTGCTCGACTGTGTTTTTAAACTCCATATGCCTTCACTAGAATCATTTTTTATATACTTCATTGTGTGATTTGCAAATGACGCATAATTTCCAAACAAAATTACATATTAGTTAAAACACAAATTTTTTTTTTGCCCCATGGACTAAACATGCCATATTCACGTAATACATGTACACACACAGAAGTAGAACCATTTGGATAATTTCATTCATCAATTCATGACATCAAGGTGAAACAAAACACAATTCAGGTATAGTTGTGATGAGAAAACAACATTATAGCATAGATCAGAAAACAACGTAATACATGACAACACGCTTTTGGCTCTTATGTATGAAATATATTACTACAGTACCTATACTTGTGTAAAACCATAACAAACTTAACATATAAGCCTACCATTCACCTACACAGTACTCAGCAATCATCAGGTGCCTTTATTTGAGCAATAGACTCCACCACATTGAATCATTTCACCGTGACAACTACAAATTGCCAGACAGCCGGTGTTCTAGTCAAATCCGCTAATAGCTATTGGCAGAATTTCACGAGTCACGACTTTAAAGAGCACCCCACCAGTAAGGTCTTAGGTTTGGCCCAGCCCTCCCCCCGCAGTCCCTCTCCCATTCATCAACCCGGGATATATGTACCATGTCAGCAGACTATATGCCAAGCCAAATACATTTACATTTATTTATGGCAAGTCATTACAGCGCTTGTGATTTCAGGTAGAGAGAGGTATTGTTGTGCTTCTCTCGCTCCCTCTCTCTACTCTCTCTCTTATGTGCGTGTGGGTTCACTGACTGACTGACTGCTGAGGAGTGTTAAGATTCTGAGCACATGGAGCCAGCCACAGACAGGCATAGAGGAGAAGAAGGAGCCAATTTCCAAGAGTCATTTGCAAGAATGTAATCATAATTTGTATTAAGGGTGACAGAAGCATGCCAGTAATCAAGTGCTGTTATAATCAATATGACTGTGGTATTGACATTGGGTGTAGGGTTGTTAAAAGTATCGAAAATCAGATACTAACTAACTGATACTGATGCTCATATCAAAACTAGGCACTCGTTTGAGCAAGTATCAGTACTGAAAATTCACAAGCCAGAAGTGAATCTTTCCGGAATAATTATTGAATGATCTTGAGCTGTATAAGAACAGGTATAAGGCCACACAGACTAGTGTAATGTATTACCTGTAAATATTCAAAGACTCTTTGAGATGAGACTAAGTCACTACAACAAAAAACCCAGATTCAGAACCAAGATTATGGAGCGAAGCATCACTGTGAAAGGAGGTAACTTATGGAATAGTCTTGACAAAGATATAAAAGAGTCAAGTACAATGATGGCATTTAAAAAACACATACAATCAAATGTAATGTGTATGTATGAAAAAAAAAAAACTAAGTTCTTGTGCATAATAGTGATGATTTCTGTTTGCAATGGATTAATAATTGTGCCTGAACAGAAATGTACCGTTTTGAAATGTTTTCAAGTAAACTTCGGTGTTGATGTATTGTCTTGAAAAGGGAAAAGAGGGTAGATAACATAAGACTGACACTGTTGATGTCTTTTTAAACTTTATGAATGAAATAAATAAACAAATAAACTAGTACACGCCCATGGACCTACCTGGACGATGGATTACCACAGACTGTAAATGGACATAGCTAACACACTGGCCACAGCGTCCCTAATAGTATAATCTAAAAATAATTTAATGTTCTACAGAAAGAGTGTTTTTTTTGGGTTTTTTTTTTTTTGTTTTTTGTTTTTATTGTGTTCTTGGAATTGGTATAGAGCTTCAAGTCTACTCCTTAGTATTGAAATGTTAGTATTGTGACAACACTATTATGTTATCAAATGTTTATACTAGAATGGAGGATGAGGCTTCTCCCAGTAACTATGAGTCTTAGGGTTGTTTACTCTTTGGACAATGGTCTCAGTTTCAGAAAGATGAAAAATTAGGACTGTTGCCAAAGCGATTAACAAATTAAATTTGACTGGAGCCAAATGCTATGGGGTATCACACTCTCTTAGTCTATTTCTTTATACAGTGTATGGGGATTATACAGATATGAAAACACATGGTAATGTAAAAGAAAGTACTATGAAATAATGTTCTAAAGAAAATTATTTTTTTAGTTTGACTGTGGTATTGGAATTGCTATAGAGTTTCAAGTCTGTTTCTTAGTATTGAAATGTTAGTATTGTGACAACACTATTATGTTATCAAATGTTTATATTAGAATGGAGGATGAGGTGTACTCCTTAGACAATGATCAAGTCTCAGTTTCAGAAAGATGAAAAATTAATTAACAAATTCAAACAAAACAATATATCCTGTGAATAGGGAAAAGTCCTCAAGATGTTGCATATAACAGGAAGCAGAAATGCATGAATGGAGCTGTCATATACAGAAAAAAAAAGATTCAGTCCTGTATTTATACAGTATGTTATGAGCAATTTAGATCAGCAATTTCAGCAACTTCTGTATGCAAGGCTGACTGGAGGGGCTGTCTAAAAATATATATCTATGACAGTTTGACAGTTCTGTCTTCTGAAATTGCGTCATCACTTTTGAGATGAATCATTCACATATGTTTGAGGAAAAATGGGGGCATAGGCTGGCAGTGACTAGGTAGGATTGAATGAGGATTTGATCCAGGGTTAGACATGGAACAAACAGAGTGATAAAACTAAGCCAGGATTTCATTTCGCACCAAAAACAATGTAATCTTTCTACTCAGGCCTGCCACATTTCAAAATTTGAAGCATGATGTATTGCAACAGAGAAATACTGCGATAAATGATAAAACAATCAATGCCACTCGCACAAAGCATGATAAGTAAACCAACTGCAACAAATAAACTATGAATGAATGAACTAATAATGAGTCAAAGAAGTTATTTATTCTACCCATACAGCTAAAATTGAACATTATTACATAAAAATGGCAAAAATCTCCCCACTTTTGCTAAGACATTGTACGCATGAAAAATACTGTGCCAACCAATTATATGGTTACAGCTTTAATATAAGCTATTGAACGATAAGTCAATATAATAGTTATCATGATAGACTGCTTCTTTAATAAGACCTTGCTGTGACAACCAGCTGATCCAAAATAGAACGTTCAAATGTGGGCTTAAACCTTAAACAAACACATCTAAAATCTAAACCCTAAAAGCACCATGGGCTAAATGGGGATGAACTATTGGAAAATCTAACTTGAAATTGGAACTGAAATTGTGATATTGGGCTCATCACTTCTTCAGATTAGTTGCCGGACTGTACACAACTAAGACTGACTTAAAAGGTGCATTAAGGTGCATTTATAACTGACTAAATGTAATCTGTAGATCTGTTTAGTGTCATATTGTGGAACAGTCCAGGCAGAGCAATGACATATCCATAGAAGCAAGAAGGTGACTGACCCCCAAAAGTGAAGTTAGCCTACGGAGTGCAACTTTAATATTCAAAAGAGTTTCTAATTTAGAAAGTGTTGCAGTGTTTTATTTCTGGACATTGTAGCCAACCAGAAGCCCACCAAGTGTATGAACGATCACGACACATTCACTTCAAAGCAGATGAAAATCTATAGGTTATTTCTGCAGCCAAGGGCTTGTCAGTGAATTCAGACAAAATTTTGGGCAAAATGATCTTAATTTATCTTAGAACTTCCGTATCTAACCACGTGTGTTTGAACTCACACGCCCGTAATGTTGAACTAACAACATCTGTGATCGTGATAAAAGATGACATGGTGCCAACACGCGTAAAGAAAATATGGTAACATGCAGTTCATGTTTGAAACTTACCACCCCCGTGTCCAGCTGCTCCGAGCTCTGAGAGGGAGCCGCTCCGATCAGGGGTAAAAGCAACCACAACACCGGCAAAACGAGCAGCATCTCCGGGCGCATATTCCTCAAACAAGTGCGGAGAGACAGCGAAACCATGGTGCCCTTATGTCAGGTTGGTCCCGCAGGGCTCACAAATCAAGCCCCAAAGCAGCAGCATCCACGGGGTAAATCTGAACGCACGCTCCCGGTAAAAAAAAAAAATGTGAAGAAGTCTACCTCACTGTGGAGCGCAGCCACATAAAACACATGAAAACGCGCGGAGTCACACGAGTCCAGGGTAGGACAGGGTTTTGCCAGAAGACTTTTAACGCGCTGTCGAAAACTTGTCCTTTGTCATGGGAGGTGCCAATCCGTGCCAAAAATGCAATCTCTCCTCTCCACTCACTCGTCTCGTCTGGGTATGAGAACAGCTGCGCGCGTTTTTGTCCCGAGCAGCAACACTAGAGGAGAGAGACAGGGAGGGAGAGAGAGTGAGTGCGCACGGGTTTGGTAAGTATTTAGCCTTGAGATTTCAGTCCAGAGAGAGAAACGGAGGGATAGAGAAGAGGAGTGATGATGAGACGAGCAGTAGTACCCCTCCTCACTCCAAAAGCAGAGGTTCGGTCACTTCTTAATCCATGCGTAACCCGAGAGTCGTAAATGGTTAAGGATGGAGGCATTAGGAGCCGTTTGTCACCGCTCGCTGCAACGATTTTTTACGAGGAAGATATCAGCGTAGAGCGAATATGACACGTCCTCGGGTGAATCTAACATTTATTGACTTGCAGTGTTGATATGCACTGCCACACATGCACGGAATATGGGATTTATTAGGCTATGAGATAAACAACTCGTATAATACGCACGGTCCCTTTTGCGTAGCCAGCGGCAAACGGTAGATTTAGCATATCCTTTTCACACCGTATTTGACTCGTTTGATTTGTGCATTTTCTTGTGATAGGATTCTGTTCCAAGTGTAATGTCATTGTAAGATTAATGTGAAAAGTCACAGCAGGAGGGATTAGAAGGGGATGAAGAAATAATAAACAGGAGATAACAAAGTCCAAAAACTTTGAGGGAAGACAATTCATTGTGGATATTTTTAAGCAAAATCTATCAATCACCAAAATATGGATGATGTAACTTCAACTAAAACTTTAAATGTAAATGAAGCATTGCATATTTTTGAAGTAGGTTACTGAATGACATTTTTGAAGTACCTCATAATACTGTGGCCGAAAACAATATGTTAATCTGGCCAAACATTCTTAATGATAGCTCAAGAACAATACCACTAATTACACTGCATATACAGAAGTGAATTCAGTTTTGTTCCTTGATTACAAAAGGTTGCCCACTGACTAAATAGTTATGGAACTCAACAGGGAACTTCCAATAAAAAAATAATAAATCCCTTCCCTCATTGACTTTTTAAAAATTCCAGTGTCAAATGTTTAAGGGCACTACATCATCAAACAATTACACAAAAAACTATTTATCTATTATAAGTCATAACTAACACAAGAGGTAACTCGACTAGTCCCTGAAATCCATAATAATACCTATTTTTCATGCGTAGGGATTGAGGATTTAAAGCCGGAATAAAAAGAATGTTTGGTGAATCTGATCAAGGGGAAAGACCTTATTGCCCTTTCTTCCAACAGGATTTGGGAAAAGCTTAATATACCAGTTCACCCCGTTAGCTGCGCATTACAGACGTCATGACCAAATAGCAGCGATTGGTGAAATTTTTAAAAAAGTACCCGCTTACCGTCGAGCAAAGAAATTCTAACACTGCGAAGTCAGATGGTTTCTACGAAGTAAAACCGGCTGATGAATCAGGTTAGATATCAGTGACATGTGAAACTAAATAAGGAGCTCATTGGTCACATATCATTTACAAACCTAATGAAATTGATCTAACCTTTTAACAGAGTTTAGTGCTTTGCTTATTGTTTCTGCAGAAATCAGAAAGCTTTTCCAGTCCCAAATGTGATATATTTCCTTTCTTTTATTTTTCCTTTCTTTTCTCCCCATCAGCAGCCACATTTGTTTTGATAAAGACAGACCATGTGTGTCCCGAACTGACTAATCCACCTGTCAATCAAGCACATCTGAAAACAGGGAAATTCACCAGTGACCAGACTCACACCTTTGCATGGAAATGGGATCCAGAGTCCATACGTCTTCAGTACTTGCAAACTTGGCCGTTGTGACCCCAGAACTGAAAAGTACAAAGGGATTTTTTTTTTTTTTTTTTACTTTTTATAGATTTCACACTCCAGTGGCACTCAAAAAGCTCACAAAGTGCAGCTTGACCAAAAAGGCCATGACCTGGTGCACACATTAAACTGCTCTCCATGACAACGGACAAAAACAGGCTTTGATGAGGCAAAAGTCGAGGCTGTTGTGCTCTTGTAGATGTGTTAGAACTTTTTGATTAATACAGAACTGAGAAACTAGGAAAACTATCTTGGGGAAGTATCTGGTGAATCAAGCATCTTAGCATTTAAATGCAGAAGATCAGATCTCTAAGGGAGCATTAAAACTGGATATATCATGGGCTGTGTTTATCAGATCAGCTTTCAGAGCAAAAGCCCTGTTTTTGAAAGTTTGTTATTTAGATCAAATCCCAAAGCTAGATTTTACAAATATGTTCTACGCATCATTTGATTTTTATGAATTTGTTTATTTAAAGGTTATTGGATGGATTCAAACGTTAAAACTTTTAGTAAAAAGTCAATGAATACAATTTTGTTAAAATACTTATTGCAAAGATTTAAAATGCTGCTTTTTCCTACATTATATCTCATAATTAGTTTTTCAGCTCTGAAAACTAAGCATGATTGGGGCAGCTTTGTACTCATTTCCGCTGTGAATTCCAGGAGACGTGGTTTGGCAGTGGAGTTTCTAGATTAGTCCATACTTTTGTTGTGTCCTGAAATGGGCAAGACACCAGTGTCCATGTACAGGGATGGAAACAGATGGAAATGACCCATAGCTACAATTCGGTATGTTTAATGCACATATGTAATCATAAAACCCAAACCTATATTTAGGCAGAGTTCTTCTCTCAGGCGGACAATACTGTTCCACCTTGTGATGTCATGTGGTAATACAGGAAGCGCTCCACTGTGTTTTTAAACTCCATACACCTTCTTTAGAATCATTTGGACAATTTCAGCCCTAGAACTGCCAATCTTTACTGAACTAAGGGTAAAAGTAGCTGTTAAATCTAAAACTGCTCCATGACATTACAATGTGGAACAGAGCATTTTGAGCTTTGGAAATGTTGACAAAATAATAATAAACGATTCTTCAAACATGTGAATGAAACAAAACACAACTCAAGGTATGTTTTGAGGAGGCAACAACATTATAACACAGTGTAAAGCTCGCCAGAGTCAAGTTTGTCTAATATAGAGCCTTTTATTTCGACTTCATAGTTCTATCTTTTCTATATACTTTTTATACCAAGCACTAAAATACTACTCTTAAAGACTGGACCTAATTAAAATGTTCACGTTGAGAATACTGCCCAATTAAACCAACATATCGGCAGAAGCTGGCCCAGCCGAGTGGAGAAAGTGCAGATGTCCCAAACACAATGATGTTTTATGTGGTACCCCTCATTACACTTCTATTTGCTTCATATTAGAGGAAAGTGTTTGCTGAGCTGCAGATAATTATGACATGAAACAGAATTATCAGGGCTCTTTTCTTCTCCTGGGCTTGAGAATGTGCCTATGTCTGTCTTTTGATTCATACAATAGTAGAATTCAAAAGAGACTGCAGAAAAGAACTGCTGCTTAAATGGTGAGTGCTGTGTACTTTAAAAGGATAGAATTTAAAAGACCCATATTATGTTATTTTCTGATCTGTTATAATGTTGTTTCATTATCTCAAACATACCTGGAGTTGTGTTTTGTTTCATTCACACATGTTTAACACACCTCTTTTCTCAAACTTAAAACACTCTGTTCCACCTTGTGATGTCAAGTGGTAATACAGGAAATGCTCAAATGAGTTTTAAAAGTCCGTACACCTTCACTGAATCATCCAGATGATTCCAGACCTGGAATTTCCCGTCTCTACTGAATAAAAGTAAAAGTTAGCTGTTAACTGCAGCGTCATGACATCATAAGCTAGAACAGAGCATTTTGAGCTTTGGAGATGTAGACAGAGTTATACACTGCCTGGACAAAAAACAAACAAAAAAAAAAGCAGGAAGGTTTAACTAAGCAAATGATGTGGGGTTGCTGCAGTTGGCCCGGTGTAGGTTCAGCTAAAGTATGTGCTCAAAGAATGAGGTCAGATGACTACTTGAATATACTGAATGACCAGGTTATTCCATCAATGGATTTTTTCTTCCCCGATGGCACAGGCATATTCCAAGATGACAGTGCCAGGATTCATTGGACTGAAATTGTGAAAGAGTGGTCCAGGGAGCATGAGACATCATTTTCACACATGGATTGGCCACCACAGAGTCCAGACCTTAACCCCATTGAGAATCTTTGGGGTGTACTGGAGAAGGCTTTGCACAGTGGTCAGACTCAATACAAGATCTTGGTGAAAAATGTATGCAACACTGGGTGGAAATAAATCTTGTGAGACTGCAGAAGCTTATCGAAACAATGCCACAGTGAATGCGTGCTATAATCAAAGCTAAAGGCAGTCTAACTAAATATTATAGTGTGTGACCTTTTTTTTTTTTTTGGCCAGGCAGTGTAATAAAGGGTTACTCAAACATGTGTGAATGAAACAAAACAGAACTCCAGGTATGTTTTTGATGAGATAACTCCATTATAACATGGCTAAAAGCTCACAAGAGTCAATTTTGCCTAATATTGGACCTTTAAGGTGCAGTATGTATGGTCAAGTAGGTGCTGGAATGTTTCAAAGTATACCTGTGAATATCGAATATCGGTGCATCCTTACTTCCTGTTACATTATTGGTCTGTTTTTACATTACTGGCCGTTATTATTGGTTGCAACAGCAAAAATAAAGTGTACCTTAACCATAACCTTTTGTCACGTCTGCAACTTGCTCTACTAACTCCT